GAAGTTCCCAAACTTTTTGATCTAGTCGACCATATGGCAATTTTTATAAATGTTATTGATTTTTTTACAAGTTCATCAACTTCAAATGTGTGTTTTGACAGATGACACAGGGCGAGTGAGAAACTTAAAAAAAAAATTATGCAAGTTTTATATCTCGCCGAATATCTTGTGTGTTGTCACATGTTTAAGTATTTCATAGGTAATTTACATGTGGACAGGTACTTGACCAATGCAAGGATCAGTGGAGAAGAAATCTAGTCTTATCGAAAGTACATGGTTAGTCGTTGGCAGTCTCCGACTGGGCCGATGCCAATCTTGTCACATTTAATGCTACCAAAACGCAGGCGTGTCTATTCTTCACAAAACGGAGTTCCTTTCACCTGACTTCGACTTGTACCGATAGTCGAACATCTCCAGCTACTTGGAATAGACCAGTCGTCCAATCTGAACTTCAACAAATGCATTCAATCCATGGCCAAAAATGCAGCCAGGAAACTTTGCATCCTTTCCAAGGTGAGACATTATTTCACACCGGGACAGTAGCTTCAGCTGCAAAGCACAAGTCCGCTCGTGTATGGAGTACTGCTGCCACTTATGGGATTTCTCTGCTAAATACCATCTGGCCACCTTGGATTCAATCGACAAGCGTGTCAAGAGGCTTATATATGACTCGAAATTAGTAGAGGCGAAGCTGCAGAGGCTTGAACACCACCGTAAAGTTGCCTGCTTATCGGAATTCTACAGGATAAATCACGGAGAGTGTGCGATGGAATCGCATCATTTGATTCCGCCTTCCCCTTTCCATCATCGGGGGACTAGACGTGGGCTGGGGTTCCACCCCTATGTTGTGGATATTCCCAGGATTCGCTCGAAGCGTTTCGCTTCCACATTTATATGGCGAGCGGCTAGAGAGTGGATTTCCCAACCTGCGGACTTGTTCCCCGAACGCTATAACTTGGACCTTTTCATTCGAGAGTGAATAGGCATTATTTAGTTATGCATGCTACATCGTTGACCTCATCATCACTTTCCATCAGGTGAGATGGAGGTCAAGCAGTAAAAAAGTGCCTTTCCACAGATACCAGACAATAAACAATGACCCTATATAACGCCGAATGTACGGCATTCAGTGCATCTCTGTGAGTGAGTCTTGTTTGGAGCGTCTTTTAACCGACTTCAAAAAAGGAGAAGGTTCTTAATTCGACCGTATTTTTGTGTGCATATTACGCGGTTACTCGATTTGTGTACCGATTTTGATGATTCTTTTTTTGTTGGAAAAAGGTTACCTCAGTATTGGTCCCAATAATACTATATTGGCTCACTGATTTGTCCCTTCTAAATTTGAACAAAATATTCCACTGCTAAGGGTAGCAATCTAGGGGATGAAACCGGTTTCGCGCACTTTTCGGTAATTAATTTCAGTAAAACTTGGCAAATATATGTAATGCCACGAACTTTTGAGGTCGGGTTTTTAATAAAAAAAAGTTATTTGTAAATGTAAGTGCACAAATCGGTCTCAGCGTGCGGTCAGTCCACAGATGACTTCTACATAATCTCATCGGGGCTGGTGTCGGCCGAGACCACCATCGGCAACTCCAACCGCACGCTCTTCGAAAAAGTCAATCCCATCGGAACGGTACGTACTTATTACGAGTGTACAAGGTTGTATTACGCCATAAGAGTCACCTCACTTATACAAAACGATACACACACTTATTAAATGTATGAACACATTGGTAGCTCAATGCAGAATCCAAGTAATGCCAACTAGCGGCGTTCGTACCACACTAAACATATACATCAATTTAAGCCGTTCATTACATCGAACAACTCTAGTATATTAGCGAGTGTGGTCTGCGAGTGTATCTGTGGTTACACTCACACTGACAAAGTTTGGTACCTGAGATCGTGTTGTCTGTTATCTTTTAATTTTGTAGTTGAACCACCACCGTCACTGTACGCTATAAAAAAATGTAATTTATGTATCTCTGTTTTTCTATGTAGGTGAATTATGTGTAATTGTTAGTGAGAACAAATGTCTTAATCCATAACCAATGTAGTGTATCTCAGTGTAGTCTAATGCTATCTAATAAATTTTATATGTATATTACTTTGCTAAAAAATTAAATTTAACTTAGTTTCTATGTTGTCTTAAGATTGCCGTCAACATTTGTAATTGTTATGTTTACATTGTAGATCACCTAAGTCAAATAGGATAAGAATGTGTTGTGAACATAATGTTAGTGTTGCTAATAAATAAATAAACAACGGGTACAAAAGCGAAGGTGACTACGACATCTCGAGTGTTAAACACTGCTTTTAAATTCTGCTGTGACTAAAGTAATACATGGGTCAATAAACTTTTATACCAACGCTGTGGTGACTGTATGAAAAAGAATTTGAAACAAAATTATGTTTGATAATCTTAAATTACAAAATAACAGCAAAGCCCTCTAAATATTGAGTAATCATGACATTATTATACGCGATTTGTTTAATTTGAGATTAATATTCTATAAAATCCCAAAATAACTTAAACTACTGATAGTTTTTTTGACACAATACATTTTAATATGTAAGTAAGTTAAACCGGTATAGAAAACATACATGTTTAAGTAAGAGTTAAAAAAGTGTTCTAATGGAGTCGATTCCAGTAAACGCAAATTGCGCTTATAATCAAAGTTCATTGCGTCCCTTCCTGTCGTTACCATTAAGAAAAGGACAGAAGACTTTATTTTAGTCTACTTATAGAGTGAAGGGAGAACATTGTTAGATCCGTCAACTTGACCTTAATAATTGGTATCACCTATTTGACATCACTGTAAGCAGAGTAAGCATGTATGCTAAAATGTTAATCGTTGTAGATAATGGAGTTCGTGCGCGCCATGATCGCCAATCGACTCGCGCGCAGCGGCAAAGAGTGGGTGCACATATTTAGGAAACACAACAGCGGTACTTACAACAACCAGTGGTCAGTTGTTTCACAATTCTATTCGAATATCAGCAACGTTTACACGTTTCCACTAGTGGAAACCCCTCAGGTTTATTCATAAATTACATCGCGCGTTATTAAATATCGCCGTTGTACTGGGAAAAAAAATATTTCATAAAAGATTTCGACGAAGAATATTTTTTACAAGTCGACGTTAATTCGTATTATATTAATATTTGCATTTTACATAAGCAACAATGTAAAGTCATTTTCTATAAAATAAAATTCATATAATTGGTTTTCACAGTATGAAGACGATATGATATTACTTTACTACATACGTTTTTTGGGAAATTACTCCACTCGTTTCTTATTATTATTGATACAAAAACAAATAAACACAAAGAAAAGTTCTTCGGTCCGACTGGATACGAACCAGTGTCTGTTGTCATGCCTCCGTAATATATATATAATGAATATACGTCATGATATTGATTAAATATTGCATTTAATACAGCGACATCTCTCGACAACTTTTTTTAGCTACAAAGGTACCTGGCTGAATGACTTTATAAGTTTCCCACAGGTAGTGCTGATAGCGAAAAAGCCGAAAATAAAAGGTTTTTTATAGTGCCAATTGACGAACGAACAAGTCGTGCACCTAGTGGCAAGCGACACACCTGTCCATAACAGTTGCTGTGCCACTCAGAGCTTTAAATAAAGATTTATGGGCACTGCCACTGCGCCCATAAATCTTTTTGTAATTTCATAAAACCGGAACGCAGTAATGCTCACATGACTGCTTGGCGACAGAAACAGGCAAGGCGACAGTACTCCCCTGGACAAACTCTTTCACAAGGAGCTCTACTGCTACTACATAGATCGAAATAATTTTTCTTTATGATTGTAGCCGTCAGACCCAAGTAGAAGATGTAGAGGATCTCGACAAACTCGTTAAATCGAAGACGATTAATAGTTAATTGTGATATATTGACAATAGGTTAAAAGCTGTGGTCGTTTCTTACGTAAGAACAAATAAATAATGAACGGTATCTTTGACCTTTGTTAGTTTGTACAAAAAAAATCGTTAAATATCTGGTGGGGATAAATAAAACATAAATCATATTTAGGTAGTAGTTGATTGGTACAAAATAGAATCCCCCGGCTTACGTAATGTGGCCTTGACGAGCGTTTTGTTACTGCTTCGAAAATTACATCAAATTAAGTTACAAAAATTCTCTTGCGTTCGCGACAGTGTTCGATTTTTTGTATCAATAATAATTCATAATAATAGTGGCTATTTCTTTAACAGTTAAGCATGAAACACACTGAGAGCGGGTGTGGGTCGGGCCAAGAGCGGGTGTGGGTCGGGCCAACAGCGGGCGAATGCACTGCGCTCTGTGTGTTGTCGTCCATATATTTACACGGAATCACCCGCCGCGGGCCCGACCAGACCCGACCCGCGCCCGACCCACACCCGCTCTCTGCGTGTTTCACGCTTTAACAGTACTGGTAATAGGAGTGTTCTTATTCATTACTTTTCTAATTTCGACACTTTTTTCAACAACGGATAATTGTCTTTGCTCACTGGCTCTAATGGCTAATATCGGTTGACAAGTTAGATTTTGACTCTTCCCATCTACCGAAATCAATTTTTCATATGTTAATGACATTCATGTCAAACGTTTTTTCTTTTTCCTTTAAAAGTATATAAGCATTTAATATTATTGTGTATTTATTGTTATGTATATTATTAGTATGTGTACATATCTATCTACGGATATGTATATATTTTTATGATTACTTATTATGTAGTGTACTTATGATGATATTCTTTGGTTGCACCCCTTTTTGCATATCCGAAATGTCTATACTAAGATTGCCTGGAAGAAATTGCTACATAGCAATAAGGCCGCCTGTTGCACATTCACTTACTACTATTATACTTAAGCTATTGTATTGTATTTTAATTGTAATTTTATGTGGAATAAAGAATATTTCATTCATTCCTTCATTCGTAGGTTAATGATTTTTCTCACACGTAACATTTATATTTGCTTAGGTATATTGTGGACTACAAAAAGTTCCGCCCGCGCACGCAGGAGCAGCCAGAGCCGGTGATCGAAAATGGACTGCTCTATATAATTGAGCAGCTGCCGGGGTATACAGAAGCTGCGGACTTGTGAGTTATCATTACAATATTTTCCACATAGAAAATACAGACACATTAAAATAATGACACATTTAGGTTTAAAATGTAAGGGCTTCGATACTTAACGAGTCATTTCTCTTCTGCCCGGAGTCCCGATGCAAAACGCACGTCTTTTTACCACTCATTACATAGACATAAAACTTTTTCTGACGCAATGTTATTTCGTGTCGGTAAATGTGATGACTTCCCTAAGGAACACAACAGCATACAATGGCAACCATTTACAAAGATAAAATCAAATATTTATCGATTCAATCACTAGGTCCTGGCCAGCGGGCAACACTTGTGTCTTAAAAATAGACTGCAGAAGCGCAGTCGCACGTCTGTAGCGCTTCATTAATTTTTAGTTCACTGCTATGAGATCAAAAGAGGCGCGCGCGTGGCACTGCAACTGCGCTCCTAAATATTGTAATGGTGCGGTTGAACAGTGTCACCACTGCAACACTTCTATAAGCGTCTAACTTGAAGGCACCCTGGGTATTATACGTTTTGAATTTTCTAATTATTTATTGTTGTTAAATTAATGGTTTTTTAGCGAATGTTCAATAAAATAATTACGAATGTTTAGGTGTGTCCACATTGGTGTGTGGATAGTATTTGGCACAAATTACTATCTTTGCTGTTTTAACTTACGTGTCTTGATATTTCTTATGAATTTTAAATAACTAGAGGTAACGATGAAAATTGCGTTTGGAAATGTCAATTTGTTTTTTGGCGCGAATGTCGCGCTTTGTTGGCGGTTTACACACGCCATATGTGCACGACACTGTATTTGTTTTACCACCAAGAAATAATCCACGTCCAATGTATGGACCACTTTTGGTCCTGTATGTTTCCAAGTTTTCACGTATTAGTTTCTTTTCCAGAACCTTAGAACTAAAGCAACAGACGTACTTCCCGTCGTACAATATCCCTTACTTCCCTGGTGTATTCAACCTGAGCGGCGGCTGGGTGCGAGTGCAGACCTACGGCGACTGGTTCGGCTACCACACCAACCCTCGCGCCAAGATCATCAAGGAGAAACAGGTACCATAACGGAGCATACCCTGGACTAGCCTGGTTGCTCAATGTTTCTTAATGCAGAGGAATTGGCTAATAATAACGTTGCTTGGAGATATGTACCTATCGTCTGTCTTTTTTAAAGACTGAGTAAAATGACATTTGCACGGTTGCCAGTTTTTATAAAATTTTTTGATTGTTTTTTTTTCAATTAAACTTAAATGCTATGGAATAAAATTAAATAAATTGAATCAGATTTGTGTGGAATCTAGACTCAGGTCGTCTTTCCATACATCTTTATCTAACACATACTCTTAAATTTTGTAATATGACTTTTCAATAACTTGTTAATTACTCAAACGAAATCGTGGTACCACGAGCTTGGACTTAGTTCTAAGGTTAATATGATGGATATAGTCCTGGCTGCATGTAGTCAATAGATTTTGTAAAATGTATTAAATCAAAACAATTAGACTGTATCGGTAACAAAAACATAAAATATCATTAATTGAACATTTTTTTCGGATCTACATAAATGTTAATATAATAAAGCACAATAACGCACACACTCAACATAGCCCCGCACTAAGGAAACCCTGCGTCGCGGGTACCATGGACACACACATAGACAACCTCATATTACACCCAAACTCATGAGAGAAATAAATGTACGCCATACAAATATGTCGACAATCTAATAATTGCGTTATTGCCTTCTTTATTCTTGTTTTGACAGCTGGTCTACTAGTATCGAGATCAATTTTTATTAATATAAATTTTAACAAGATAAGCCGGATTTGATTATCAATTTTGAATTAAAATCAAAAACATTAGAACATGTCTCCTCTTTCTAGTTTTCGTAAACATAGTTTTAAATACTGTGTATGTATGTATGAACCTAATACAATTGATAATTTAAATGAACTTGTGCTGGAGTAATTGGATGAATAATGGATCGAGAATGATTCAAATGTAACAAGTTCGGCTATTTATTCCATAAGCATGACTAATATTCAATCAATAGTCGATGGAATATTTATCGACTGCAATCACTAGCTGCTCCCAAGCGGGCAACACTTTTGCCCAATGAACTGTCATTTTATTCAGTCTTGAAAAAAACAGACTATATATCTATATAATAAGTCCAATATATAATACTTAGTAAGTCGCGAAAACGATTCGGCGGTCGTTTCCCCTCTTACTGCATGGACAAAAAACTTTTTCCGACAGGCGCTTAATGCGATTCCGTGTTGATAAGTGTGGTGACACCCTTATTTAGCACTCTGAACGTGAATATGCAATTAAAAACTCGGAAGTCTAGAATTTTATGATATAGCTTTTGTTTTGTTTATTTCGACAGCTCATACTTTGTTTCATGTTAGTACGTTTGTATATTAAATTCAGGAGACCTTGAAAAATAAGTTGAAAGCCTGTTCTAGGGTAAAATCCGCAACCTGCGCGACATGTACTACACGATGCGGTACAACGACTTTAAACACGACCCTCTGTCGCGCTGCTCACAGTGCAACCCGCCGTACAGCGGTTGCAACGCCATCGCTGCGAGGAACGACCTCAATCCCGCGAATGGTAAGTGGTATTGGAAATTATGCCATTACTTCTGCCCCCTTGTCATGACTAACGCATTTGCATTCATTCACTTACATATCTAATAGGTTGTTTTAGATGCACTACACTATATTGTGTATGTTATTTCAATGTATACCTTTACGCATAGTCGTTATATTTTTGCTTACAAACAACTTAATGCCTAAAAGGCAGAGTTACACATAATATAAATGGATTAATGTTAAGTAAATAATTCCGCCAATGGTGACTAGATCCATTAACCCCGCAAAACAGTTTGTGAATTATCTCACTTATATAAGTGGATTATCCCGCCACTGGTAAATGATTGCTTATTAATCTTGCAAACAATATTATATCTCACTGATATTAAGTCGGTTTTTTCCGCCACTGATGAATGAAAATTTCCGCCTATTAATCTCGCGAACTGTTTATCTCACTGATATTAAGTGGATTATCCCGCCACTGGTGAATGGTTGCTTATGAATCCCGCAAACGGCGTGTGAATTATCTCACTTATATGAAGTGTATTATCCCGCTACTGATTAATGGTTGTTTATGAATCTCGCAAAAGTTTATGTCACTGATTTTAAGTGGATTATCCCGCTACTGGCGAATGGTTGCTTATGAATCCCGCAAACGGCGTGTGAATTATCTCACTTATATGAAGTGTATTATCCCGCCACTGATTAATGGTTGTTTATGAATTTCGCAAAGTTTATGTCACTGATATTAAGTGGATTATCCCGCCACTGGTGAGGGGTTGCTTATTAATGCCGCCATTATGAAGTAACGAAGAAATATTATGTATTGGACATTAATTTGAGACGGTAAAAAAAAATTGGTGTCAGTTGGAACAAACACTCCGCTTTTTCGTAGCACTATCAACCTTCGGGTTATACGGTCAAGTCTTGGGTGATGCATGACTCTTAAGTCCGTTTTTATGTCTACTTGATCCGCCATTATGGTGTCCCGCAGGCACGTACCCGTTTCGTGCGCTGGGCCACCGCTCGCACGGCGCCACAGATGTGAAAATCACCAGCGCCACGCTGTACCGCACCTACAGCTTCCTGTCCGTCTCCAGCCCAACGCACAACATCAGTCGAGGGATACCGCCCTTTGCGTAAGTACCGTGTATAATCTAACGTCGTAGAAGATCCACATCATACCACTTCTCAAAGTAGGGAATTCCTTGAAGAATGAGTACTACCCAGACCAGAAACAATATAGAAAATATATTTTACCAAATGGAACCCAAGACTAACTTATAACTTGTTCAACCACCGAAATCGTCTGAATATAGGAGCGTGTGTTGGAAGTTTTGCCCTTTTTAGATATCAAGTAACGGGATCGTGCGCCTGATGGTAAACGACATGCCTACCCGTAACAGTTGCTGGGCCTCTTTAAGTCGTAACGAACTAAGGGGTATTTCATAAAGGGCGATGGGGTCCAATAAGAGAATGGTTGCTTCTCTCTTCCTCCCCCCCTCTCTCATTAACCTCCCAAGACCCAACAAACTACAATGGAAAAAGAGCTAAACGCCCAGTGTAATGAAAATGTAGTAAATAATTCATGCGTCAGGCCCCAGGAAGTATAAGTTTATATAAGTTTTTTTAAGATGGAGTAAAATAACATTTACGGGGTTGCCAGTTTTCGTAAAATTGTAAATAGTCATGTAGTTGTAGTCGACAGTTTTATCGACTGATTGTGAAAGTAGGTAAAATTATGCCAAAAATGTTTGAATTGTAAATGTTATTTTGTTCTAATAATTACTAATTGCGTTATTGTATTCTTTGTTCTTATTTTGACAGTTGGTCTATTAGTATCGAAATCAATTTTAACTGATACACATTTTAATAACGACACTGGGATTTCGATTATGTATATTAAAATGAAAAAAATTTAAAATTAAAAAGCAAAATATATCTATTCGTATTTTTAAGTAAGCACTAAATTTAAATGCTTTCATTATAAAGTACACCGAGCGTCTACGAGATATATCGCCTGGGTCTAGTTACTGCCCATATTATGTATATTTTGATATATGTTAAAATGAGCGTTTTAAATACATTTTTATGCTACGTTCTATGTTATTGTATTCAATTCTTGAAATCAGGCCTTTATATTATGCATATATAGCACTTTGCTTTCTTTCTCAGCAATTTTTTTTTGCAGATGGAGCGAGTTTGACTTGGGCAACAGCATATCGCACGTGGGGCACCCCGACGTGTGGTTATTCTCCCCACTGCTCCACCAGTGGGAGTGGGAATAAGCGTCTCCTTCGTAAATCATAAGAGCTACTCAACGTTTGATGCGTAATACGTTTAGGTTCAACACAGACCGCAGATATTATTAACGTGCTTCAAATATCAGCAGTCCTACACTGTAACACTGGAAAAATGGACCGCGATAAAAAAGTATCACAACAAATGTACCAAAAAGAAAATTAAATGTGGTCTGATTTGGGCCTAACGCTTATATAATCGAACAATCATATTATTAAGAAGTCTTTCTAGTGATAGTTGTCAGTGTGAAACACTGCCGGTGTTCTGTTTGCATTTAGTTGTACAATTTATATTTGAAATTATGTCGCATTCGAATCAACTTCCAACGGTATAGTACATTACGCAATTTAGCTGGTAATTGGTTGGTTAACCCGATTAAATTTACCGAGATATTTGTTGGGGCACATTATTATCAATTGCCACCACTTTTGGATCCAGTAGCAGTGAACTATTACATTTTACAATTGAGCTAATTAATTGAACGAAGTTTTGTGCTAATTATCTTTGAAATGTTTAATCAATAACTAAAGTGTATGTGTGGTTGGTGAAACATGGGGAAAAGAACCTTTGCTTTTGCTGAATATTCACTAAATGTTACGCCGTTTTGAAAGTACATATCACAGAAGAATTTTAGTTTTTGTTTTACAACTGTATGTTGTAAATTTTATGTAGAATCTCGTCATTAAATACTCAAAATGTATAAATAATTTTGTGGTTGTGTAACATGATAATGAATGAAATGCAATCCAACTATTAAGGGTTATATTGCAATCGTTTTTATAATAATATATTTCATAAATAAATCACTTTTTACAAAACTATGTGTCTTACTTAATGCTTTTGTTTTATTAAATAACAAGAGAAATAAATAATACAGGGGACTGATTTGCAACTTTAAGTAGAACTCTACTTAGCGAAAAATGCATTGCAGCAGCTCTCCACAATGAAGTATTGCATATCAAAGCAATTTTGACAACACTGTTTCGCCTAGTGGGCTTTCACAGTAATTCTGCTCAACAATCAAACATATAAGATTACGTTACAGGTAAGTTACAATTGTTACAAAGCCCAGTTATTAAAACCTTGCTTATTATTAAATACATAGCTTTAATGGAATGAGTATTCTTTACACAATAAACAAGTTGATTGACAAAAGTACTAATTCTCTATACACACATTCTTCAAAGTAATTTTTAACATAATTAAAGACAGTGTAGTTGATGTCTGTGTCTTGTCATAAATATATACAAAGACAAAGTGTACAGTTGATGTAACCCAGGGATGTATCATATATTTTCAGGTCATTATCAAATGTTTAACATAATTTTTTATATAGTTTCATTGATTTAAAGAAATTTCCAGGGCTTTAAACTTGTCACAGGGTTTTCTGAAGTATACACTTTATTTATTTTCTATACTACTATATATTAATTTAGTTCTAATCTTTTACAGCTTTTAAAAGATATATTAAACATTTCAATTAACTATAACTAAACCCTTCAATCGTATCATCAAAAAGAAATTAACTTCATATCTGATTTAACTATATATAAGTGTGTGACAACTTATTTATTGTATTACATTTTCAAGCCCATTCAGGCTCCCAATTATCACTTCTCTACTGATCAACAAGCTATTTGCATTTTATTCTAGAGAGTTCAGCATCAGAAGCTGTTTCAGGACTTTGGTCTGCGATGTCTCCCGGATCTCTCCTGCTAGGAACATTTCATCCACTACTGTGTATACCTGAAATAAAAACAATTGACAATAACATATTTCAAGAAAAGTATCTCTAACTTAAATGATACTTAGAATGTCCAGACTCTCAACAAATTACATTTCAATGGCCTAAATGAGGAATGCCTTTTTTTAAATTTAGTTCATGACTTGGGATTCAAGTCCTTTAGTTACAATATTAGAGATTATAAACTTATTAAGTAATATAAAATAATAGTAATAGCATAGTAGGGTAATTTTCAGAAGGCAATTTTCATTACCTATTTATCATGAAATATTAAATATTTCACGACATTACTCTTGAATATTAAGTAATACTTCAGAATTATGTAACATTTAAATCACAAAATTTGCAATCAAAATCAAAATTAGGTAGAAAGAACTAGTTGAAAATTATCCAGTAGTAAAACTTTTTTTTTTTCTATAGTATTTACAATTATTTTCAGTACAGGCGTGAAATAAACTGGATTTGATAGTAAATCTTAGAAAAGGAAGGAAATATGTAATAAATTTCCTTCTAAGACATCACCACTCATAATAATAAATAAGAATAATCTACTGTGTTGTCTCTTCCAATATATAGTAATGATGGTAGTGCCTTTACAATGTACTACATTAGAATATTTGTACATATGAATAATGTACACAATTGGAATATTTCTTACCTTGTAAAAATTGAAAACAAGATCCAATTCACATACATTATGGAAGTACTCATTGAGCACTTCAACAAAGTTGTGGATGGCCTCTAGGTAACACAGGTTATTATCATTCACGTCCACGCATATGCAGAAGTACAGCCCAGCATACCGCCGGTACACGATTTTGAAGTTCCTGAACTGTAAAACACGCATACATTGCAAGAGATGCGTAAATATAAGAGGAGTAGATGTGGAATAAAACTTAAAAGAACACACGAGTTTTAGATGAATTTCCTAATTTACCTCAACAAAATTTGTATGCTTAGCGTCCCGAACTGTAACAACTGCATGGACCTCCTCAATAAGCTTCTGTTTCTCATCATCATCAAAGTTCATGTACCACTTCGCGAGACGAGTCTTTCCCGCTCGGTTTTGGATCAAAATAAATCGAATCTACAAGTAAGAACCAAGTAAATTTGTAAGAATACTCGAGTATAATATATAATCTAATGATCAATGCACGAAGAGTCACTCACCATGATGTTCTGATATAATTTTATACTAAAATTGTAATTTCCGACTCAAAAGAATCCAGTCGACGCCTACCAAATTCCTCTTCTTTGACAGTGACAGCTGATGACAACAAATTCAGAGTAATTATGTCTTTGTCTGTGGTCACATATTATTGATTTCTTTTTAAAATGTTTCTAATAGAAAGAAAGTAATTATTACTTACTTAAGTTTCATTGTCTTGTTTTTAAAAACCTTTTTTATTAAACTGATTTTTATACGAAGGAGTTTGTTTGCTGAGCTAATAAATTATGACTCAACAAGGCAACTTTTGGCATTTGATTTGTGTAGACAAATTAAAAATCAGCAATATTGTCTGTGTTACACTGCAACCGATGTTGCTAATTTACGGAACTATAAAATATTTGGAAGTTTTAAGCCATTTGTTTATTCTTTGTTTTACTTTCTCATGTTTATACGTTACGTCAATCAGTGGTGTTATTTACAGTGTATTTATTCATTACGAGCATTTTCAAAATAAATAATAATATTTTATGAGTGATTAAATTCTTACATAAAAATTGACCTTGAACTCTGCTATTGATGGTAGAATGTCATGCCGTTATTACAGCAACTGAAATATCGAGTTGTTTTTCAATTTCAGTGGAATTTTGACGTTGCTGCTACTTGCTCGTTTTCATAATTCTTCATCAATGTAGTACTTAGGTTTCCAAAATGTGTCTAATATAAGTAGTTCTAGGCAAATAACCGAATCATTTTTTAAATGACGCCCACGAAGACCACAAAAAGTGAAGTAGAAATGGTGATACGGAACAGAAAGACTGTGATGAAAGACGGGATTATGACGATGTCGGGGATCGGCGAGCCTTCTGTGTTCCACGCGCTAGTGGTCATCTTCCTCGAGTTCTTCGCGTGGGGGCTGCTCACGATGCCCATCATTTCAGTACTGAACGCCACCTTCCCGGATCATACGTTCCTGATGAACGGACTGATAATGGGCATCAAGGGCATTCTGTCATTCCTGTCCGCTCCCCTGATCGGTGCGTTGTCGGACGTGTGGGGTCGTAAGTTTTTCCTGCTCGTGACCGTGTTCTTCACATGCGCGCCTATCCCGCTCATGACAATCAACACATGGTGGTTCTTCGCGATGATAAGCATCAGCGGTGTGTTCGCGGTCACGTTCTCGATCGTGTTCGCATATGTTGCCGACGTCACGACGGAAGAGGAGCGCTCACGCGCGTACGGCCTCGTCTCCGCCACCTTCGCCGCCAGCATGGTAATCTCACCCGCACTCGGGGCCTATCTCATGGACTTATACGGCGAGGCATTAGTGGTGGCCGCTGCGACCGCAGTTGCCGTCTTGGATGTGTTCTTCATCATGGTTGCAGTTCCTGAAAGTTTGCCAGAGAAGGTCAGGCCCAGCGGCTGGGGTCCTGCTATCAGCTGGGAACAGGCGGATCCCTTTGCAGCTCTCAGGAAAGTGGGAGCAGAGCGTACAGTGTTAATGTTGTGTGTGGCTGTGTTTCTCTCATACTTGCCAGAAGCCGGACAGTATTCATGCATATTTGTGTATCTAAAACTTGTGATGGGCTTTGGAGTGGTCCAAGTGGCAATATTTATTGCAATAGTGGGGGTGCTGAGTATCGGTGTACAGGTGGTGCTTGGATTTTTGATGCGCTCACTCGGAGCCAAACACACCATCATGTTGGGACTGCTGTTTGAGATGCTGCAGCTGATGTGGTACGGCTTCGGCAGCCGCACGTGGATGATGTGGGCGGCGGGCGTCCTCGCTGCCCTCGGCTCGCTCACGTACCCTGCGATCAGCGCGTACGTTTCGGTTAACAGTCGCGCCGATCGGCAAGGCGTCGTGCAGGGCATGGTGACGGGAGTGCGAGGGCTGTGTAATGGATTGGGCCCGGCCATGTTCGGAGTGATCTTCTACCTTTTCCACGTGGACCTGAACGAGGAGCACGTGAACGGCGTGCCGGGCCGGCCTGAGGATGAAAAGTATGTGCGGATGGTCCCCGGCCCGCCGTTTGTGCTCGGCGCGCTGCTCGTGATCTGTGCGCTGCTGGTGGCCTGGTTCCTGCCGGACGACAACCAGAACAGCGTGGGAGCCCGGCGGTCGCCGCCTGACCTACGCTTCGAGATGGAGCGTGGGCGGCGCGTGGCGGGCCCGCTGTCGCCGCTCATGGCGCCCGAGTCCGCGGCCCTCTAGCTAGCGGCGAAGGCCGGCCGCGCGGCCAGCGTGTGACTCTCAGTGCGGTGCGCCGCGAACCCGGCCCGTTGCATTTAAGCGCCGAGCGAACTCTCCGAGTGACTGTGAGACCTCATTTGCACCTCTACGACGACATTCCCGTACGTAACCTCCGCTTCATCGTGTTTTTTAAGCTTTATACCTATTTTTATAAACTTTCGACTCCTCCAGGGGCGCTGTACATATTTTGTCTGAATAAAATCATTGAAATCGTTGTACTAGTACCTCTGTGTTTCACGTTTGTGGATTACTCGATACATTTCTCGAGTCCGGGTGAGTCATTCGTAAGTCAGTCGAGTCGAGTCGTAATGTTCGCATTACCGATAACGAATACGTTATCGAGCAACACGAGGTTCTATCGGATATTGACATACAAAGTTCATAAATGCATAAATAGACAAAACATCACATTGTAAGATCATCAAATCATGTGCGAAATTGCTTCATCGGCTAATGTAAACGCGTGGTTTGATTAATGTAGGTCAATTTGGAGTTACATTAGAATTTTCTCTAAGTTCGGTCTATGAGGTAATGTCCGACTTGCTAAAATAACTATACGTTATTCAAGTTACCCAGGCTGAGTGTATAACGATGGTGTAGCATTGCAATTTCGGAAATTGGAAAAGTTTCAAAAGATCTAAATGTGTCGGCGTGGGCGTCATATTGGCTGCAACTTGCCTCCATAGGTATAGGATTTCCTATTTCTGTAATAACTCGCGTGTACCTTAGCTAGTTAATAAAAACTAACAAAGGCGATGGTATGTTCTAATAACAGACTCGCTTAAATGGAATTGCCATCCTTATGCTGGGGACCAACATAATTTTCTTCTAAAAGTTTAAATTATTTACCCAAATTGGTCCATTTGCATATTACGTAAAAAGGTCGATTATGTCGGTCGGTTGGTTATATAATTTTTTATGAGTTCGTTCTCCTTGGAAACTAACGCCAAACGTATAGCAGACAACCCAGGTGATATCAGATTTATGTTAAAATCGATAACAACTCAAATAGAGCATGATACGTTTCTGAGAATATTTCATCGGAATTACGAATATGACTAATCTGCGTTATCAAATACAGAAGACACAAATGTACCCCGCTTGTCTTGGCCTCTTGCATTTCCTACTAGTTCATTATCAAATTATTATAAACTAAAAATATACGTTGTGTCTCGGTTTTGGTCAAGTCACCCCGCCATCGCCAACGGGGTCGTCCTGGTCCACCACTCTCTCGGCATGCGATAGACTTGTGACCTTCCCAATCCCACTTCACCTTGGTAAATAGACAAAGTTTAATAGAAATAAATGTCAAATATTTGTATTTTTACATATATACAGTATTTACTACGAGCTTGTAACTTGAGTTAGGAACGTCGTAAAACATTTTTCACACATTTAACAAAGTAACCTACAAATTCTTGAAAGATTTATCTCTCTACCTACTAAACGAAACCGTTTTTCATGCATCATCGACTTCATAAAAGTTTGGGACCTCTTAATAAATCGATTCCGAAGATAGAAATAAGCTTTTGCCTTGGGCAACTTTAAGTCCCAAGGGCAAGAAATAACTTCAATTAATAATTCAGCCACGATATCAAAACTTCAGGCACATATAAGTTCTCCAACAGAGTAATCAGGCCAGTGATCCTAGCAGGCAGGAACGAATTCATTAATTTTCTAGACCACGCATGTGGCAACATAATATGTGGCAGGTTATTACATTACGCTTGCTAATGACACTCGCAGGGTATTTCCCAAAGGTATAGACCATAATTGAGGACTACAAGTTCTAATTGTGTACATAAATCGTAGGTTACCCGTTAATGTTTAACGTATTGAGGCCAATCTCAATGCTCATCCTATTCGTGACATTTGCAACTTTATCTAACAAAGGAACTTCGGGATAACTTTGAAAACTTTGCAAGTATACGCAAAATGTGTGTTAAACTACCGGTAGTATGACAGGTTAACGCCGCGTGTTTGCGCATTGCGATAAAAAAGAAATTCTATATCACAAAGTTCGTGTTGTCAAAAGTTTATCGGTTTAACGTGTTAAATATTAACGGGAAACATCGCTCAAATCGGTGCTCCTACATAATAAATCTAAACCTTTGTAAAGCAGTAGCGACTTCAAAACGTTTGGTCTTTTAAATAGATTGTAAAAAACATTTCAACATTCAGTGAAACGTACTGAATATGTTATGCGATAAAATGTTAAACTACTGTCCAACAGTTTAACTTCTTAACACTTCACCTTTCTTTCCATCCTAGTCTAGGATCCGTAAATGCCTTTTCAGTACCTACTATAAATAGGACCAAGTGGGCGATGAATAGTCGTATTTTGTAATCAAGGGGTTTGTCTGCTTATGGGAATTTGTATCTATTCTATCGTTTTACTCGTAAATTCTCCAGTAAGGCTAGTCTTTAAATATAATTATGTGGATATTACTGTGTTAAATAAAAGAGGTATTCAAGACAAAATATACTTTATCTGTTGTTTGTACACTGACAAACCGAAAAACATTTTTCGGTTTTTTATTTTTTCAAATCGATTCTTTATTTTTAGCATGAAATACAGATTTAATAGTTTTTTTCAGTCCTTTTTCTCTTAATAGGTATTGGAAGAGAAAAATAAATGAGTAATATCAAGAAGGAAAGCCTAAAACTGTTACCGCGATCTATGTCTAAAAGTTACAAAAATATATTTAAACATCTATCTGAAGGCACTTGGTATAAAAACTAATCTTGTATCTTTTTATGACGCAGACAAGCAACTATTGATCCATAACTTGCGGAACAAAATAAACTAGTCGAGTGGTGAAAATAATATTGAAGAGTTTCGAACAAAAACCGTGTCAATAAATTGAAAAAGTTGGAAACAAGCGGGCATTTAAGTTTTTGAGGGAATTTCCGATTGGAATTTAATTGGTATTTGAATATTACTTTCAGGTTTTGAACACAAAAACGTTATTTTAGAGTATCCTCATTTCTACACCCAATAATGGTGACCGTTTCTAAGTGGCTGCCATATAGTTACTATTTGCTAAAATCATAGCTTACTGCTTCTGTTTCGACAGCCGTTTTATTTATCGTCTTCGTTTACATCTTCATTTCCATTCATCCCAATGGTGCTTGATCAGCCCGTAAGTACCATTGCAGGGTAAGCAATACTTCCGAAAGCGAAATTTGTTATAAATTATTAATAAAATGGTATATTCATCATCATGGCGGACGTTTTCTTATTCAATCTTGGATGTAGGCCTCTTCCCTCTTCTTCCACTTTTGGCGATCTTGTGCCCGACTCATTCGGATTGCGTCCATTCAGCGCGACGATGTTCTACCGCGCCCTATGATGTCCACTCTTGGTCTCCACTTAAGTATTTGCCTTGTCCAGCAGCTCTCGTCCGTGGGCACATTGCGCGAACGGACCTTACTACCTATTTCTACCGACAAGCAGTGATCGACCTAGACAGAAGTAATCGTCCCGTAATATTATATAAAAAAAAAGGTTCGAGTCCTATCAGATCGAAGGAATTTTTATTTATGTTCGTTGTTTGTATTAATAATTTAAACGCTATTTTTAGCTGTGACGAGGATTTAAACCCGTTCCCAGTCTAAAACAATGTCACATCCCCCAAAGCCACCGCTGCTTACAATAAATCAGATGAATCTTGTTTAGATGTTAGCATTTCCTCCACGTCCACACTCCGCAAAATCCCCAGCGAGGCGTGACGCGTTGCAACACTTCGAATTTGCCGCAATCTAAATCACTGTGTGCAAATTGTGAGATTCCATTTTGTTTAACAATTTTTTACTACGACAGTGTGGGAAACCGTGTACATTTTAAATGTTTTTTTCTTCACGATTCTAATTGACGGGACGAACAAGTCTTGCACCTGGCGGTAACCGACTCACCGTCCATAACAGTTGAAGTTTAAAGTCATAAAGATGTGAAGGGCACTGCGTCTGGCCTCGTCACTTTGAGATATAAGTTGACAAGTCCCATGTGCCTGTTATTACACCAGCACCCTTACTATTCAAAACCGGAACGTAATAATGCTCATTACTACGATTTCGTTTAACCAAGGTAAACAACTCTTTTATGGGGAACTGTATACGTTTTTACAATAAGATTCCGGAGCATATATTAAGTTTATCATTTCCTAAGTTTAAAAACTACATTAAAAATATTTTGATCGAAAAATCATATTACAAAATTGAAGACTACGTGTTAGATAAAGATGTATGGAAAGACGACATGGCTCCAGAATCCACACAAATTTGATTCAAAGTGTATTCCATAGCATTTAAGTTTATTTGAAAAGAGCAATCCCTAGAGTTTCTTGCTCGTTCTTCTCAGGGAGGTCAGCGTAGTGAACGAGCAGTAGCTTAAATGTGACGTTTTCAAGTGTAAATTTATTTTACCTATGGAATAAATAATCTTTGACTTTGACTTTGACTGCTAGGCGGCAGAAAGAGGTAAGGTGGCAATTACTTCCCTGGACGAACTCTTTCATAAGCAATTCTACTGCTACTAAAATGTAAACTTTGGTTAAAACATTATACACGGTAGTGTTAGTTAGTACTCGGTACTCGGGTATCTCTCCTCATATTCCTGGTGGAACCAGAACCAAAAACTTTATATATTGTTATTAATTTATTTATCTTTATTATTAACTGAACAAGTGATATTTTTCATCGAGGGACTGAATTGAGCCTATACCTATATAACCGAGAGTGCTGGTTAACTATCCGAGTTTTAGAGAGGGTGTCTATTATTCCGAGGGTTTATATTGGCTTGTAGTCTTGTGGTGAACACTTGACATTTCACTTCGATGGCGTGAAAAATAAATATTTCGACCGTTTACGCTCTAGAAAAAAATCACGAACCAAAATATTGAAGTTTTCGCGGTATTTATCTCCAACCAGAATTAAAAAACACACGACTAGGGTCTTTGGCTATTATGAGCGTCTTTTGAACGATTTAAGTGCCACGTCTCCGTCTACGAAAAAAGTCACGGAACTAAAACGAAACGTAATCTTAGAACGTAAGAATCGCAATAAAAATGGTCAAAAAACACATACAAGCACTTTTTTTATTCTGTGAAACTGTAGGTTTATTTACTTCGATGAATTATTACAATGTTAAATTGTAATTGTCTTTTTTGTTTTTGTAATTATTTTTAAGCGTTGTTTTAATTGAATTATATTGTTTCACTTATTGAACCTTTTGGTACAAAGTAGAAACTTTACGCAAGGCTAAATTGACGTACTTTTAAAGCGTGAAAAGTAAAATATGTCCTGTTATTTTCTGTCTATACTCCCTGTTTATTTTCAACAAAACACTGAGAAATCCTTATTATTTATAACAGTTTTTTTTACTTATCTACTGACGATAACAACTTCTTTAACATTGTAACGTGTACAAATGACGACATAGCCAGTTAACATAAACAGAATGTAACAATGTAAATTATAACATGTTATCTATACAAAATACGCAGCAATAAGCAAAGGAAAACAATTTTTTAAATCGTTCACGCACACTACTTGACATGAAAATGTCACTATACTTTTCCTGCCGCAGTGCTTATATTGATTCAATATAAAAATTCAATGTAAATCTTACAATTGACAGTACGCTGTTGATACTTCTCTATGGAGAAGCAGTGGTAGGCGGCGACTACACAGAAAGCACTTTGAAATTGCTCTGTAAAGCCTTTAGTTGATTATTTGAGATCCATATTCTGATTTTTTTTACGGTAGACGCCGTTACTTTCTGTGAACGGGTTAACTAGGATTTCTATATTTCCCTGTTATTCTATATCAACTTATTATGCGCATCCGTTTCAGTATAATTATGATCCACTACACTGTTTCAATGTGGGTTGGTATATGTAGATAAAGGGTTTGTGAATTATCCCAACTATTTTTAATAGCAGTAGATCTCCTTGTGAAAGAGTTCGCCCAGGGAAGTACTGCCACCGTATTTATTTCTACCGCGAAGCAGTAATGTGAGCATTACTGCGTTCCGGTTTTGAAGGGTAACGGAGTTGGTGAAATTACGGGCACATGGGACTAGTCAACTTGTGCTTCTGGGTGACAGGCGAAGTGGATCAGATCTTTGCGATTTAAAGCTCTAAATGGCACTGCAACTGTTATGGACAGGCGTGTCGCTTTCCACCAGGCGCAAGACTTGTTCCTCCTCTCACTTAGTATCATTAAAAAAATCCCCAACTTGCAAGTTTCCCCTTAGTGATTTTCCAAGTTGATCTGACCACAGAAAAGAAATCAAAGTTGCAGAGCTACTGATTGCTTGATGGGCATTGAAGAAGCGAAAGAGCTGTAACAGGGACTTGGGCATTTGGAGATCTGTGGTTACGGACTACCCTATGGCACTACGGTCGTGATGGTATGCGTGATAGTTTGCATGTATGTGTATTGAAGGCTATTTAAATTACTTCGGTTCTCAATATACTTAATCAATAACTGTGTATATCGAATGGCATTCTTTACGCCGCCAGGCACGCAGTCTTATTGGTTTAGCTCCTTTATTCACCTATCAAATCTTAACAAATGTTAACATTATCGGATACTATACTAGATAAGATAATCTGTAAAAATTACAAAAGTCTGCATGAATCTTCTATCAAATCGCGAATTGTAAAGAACAGATCATTTCTATGTCTGAATTTAGTCGGTAGACAAACTCGTGGGATTTATTTCATATATACATATTTGAACATCAGTTTAAGCCTAAGTAGTCCTCATTTGCTCTTTTTTGCTCATTGGATACGTAACAAAATTACGAACAAAAGTTATAATTCACTTAGCTACGAAGTATGTCGGTTGTGTCGTTAGGACGTCCTGAATTAAAGGCTTACGAAAAAGAGCTTATACCCATGTTCAAATAGGCCCTTAACATACTTATGTGAAATATGTGTTTTATACGTAACACGATCGAAATTCCCAATTAAAAAAATATCACATTCATGTGTCAGGTCGCTATATACCGAAAGCGACCCATGTCATAGGTTTCTTTTGCAGGATTCAAAGTTGCAAAATGTCCACCCTCTTTCTCGTAAGCAGGTCTAACACTAGATCAGTGTAGTGTTTGGACACGTTATTGATCATTCAAGGTCATATATTGGTTATATGCTTGATGTGTATTCATAAGGAGTTACAATTTTCTTTATCAACTTTAGTATTCTTTACCAAAAAGCGAAAGCGGATTGCTTAAGAGGAGCGCTTTCTGTCGGTTTTTTACAAGATGATTATTGTTGATGGTTAAACATGGTACTTTTTTTAATTGTTTCTTTATTTCACTTGTCAAAATAAACCAAGGGCATCAGGCATTATCTACCCAAATAACGTAAAATCAAATAATATACCCCGAAGTAACCTCTCTTAAGTAGATGCTGGCGGTC